AGTGGTAGTCGCAATAGCAGCAGCAGTGGTAGCGCTACTAGTACAAGTACGACTAGTCTCACCACAGCAGCAGCGGCGGTAGTAGGAGTGGCAGCAGCAGTAGGTAGGAGTAGCAGTATTAATGGCAGCAGCACCAGTAGCACCAGCAGGAGTGGAGTATTATCGTATTGCCTGCTGGTACTAGGATTGGTAATAGCCGCAGTAATAGCATCATCAGCAGTGGTCGTAGTAGTAGTAGTGCTTCACACGAATTTCTCCTCTGAAGCTACTGAGGCCATGACCAAGCGCTGGGCCGAGCAATGCGCGAAGTCCTGGCAGAAAACCACCAAGGCAGCTGGCGGCCTCAGGTTGCGAGTCTACTGCTAGTCTTGATATTAGGTTATGCTGCGGTGGTGCCGGTAATAACAGGAGAAGTAGTTAGTAGTAGCAATAATAGTAGCAGTAGTAGTAGTAGTAGTAGTAGTAGTAGTAGCTGTTGACGTAGCAGTAGCAGTAGTACCAGTAGTAGAAGTCGTCGTCGTAGTAGTAGTAGTGTAGTAGAAGTAGTCGTCGTCGTCGTCGTAGTAGTAGTAGTAGTAGTAGTAGCAGAAGTAGCAGTAGCAGTAGCAGTAGCAGTAGCAGTGGCAGTAGCACCGGTCGTAGTCGTAGTAGCAGTAGCCGTAGTCGTAGTAGCGGTAGCACTAGCAGTAGCAGTAGCAGTAGCAGTAGTAGTAGTAGTAGCAGCAGTAGTAGTAGTAGTAGCAGTAGTAGTAGTAGTAGTAGTAGTAGTAGGATGAGTAGCAGTAGGATGAGTATGCCATGAAAAAGTAGTAGTCGCCGTCGATATCGTTGTAGTAATGCTCGGTCTTGGCAAATCGAAGAAGCTGCAGAGACGAAAGCAGCAGGATCACAAGCACCAGGACGACGAGCACTCACCAAAAGCCATAGCAATGATGATAGCCGCCTGAAGAGTAGCCATGATATTGATTAGTGTCCGGCCTTTCTGTCCGGCATACAACATGATTGTTTCCACGGCGTATACGATTTGCGAGATCTCGCAAGGACCACCTTCGACAATACTATTCAGAGATGCTGCAAGCTTGAAGCTCAACGAGATAACGAGGGGGCGGGCAAGCCACGGCATGTGCAATCACGTAGATTGCAGCTTTTCTTCTGCAACCCACCTGGAATCATTTCTCGTTAGTTAGCTCGTATTTGTGGATCCGTCAGACTTGCCTGAGGACTCTCGGCGGGGCTTTCACTTAGGAACTTCTAAATCCTCCTCACCGTAGTCAACGAGCAGGAGTTAAGGCATTTGAAAGCTCCTGGGGCAGATGCACCGGCGGAGAGCCGCCGAAAAGGTGGCCCACGCGACCTTCGTAAGATGCAGCCCATTCGCTCGATGCCTAGACTCATATGCCTAGCAATGAACTCGCGGGCTGAGGGTTCAACAACAAATCAGAATAGGGATCAAACAACAATCAAAATATCATTATCATATCTCCTGGAGAGTATACTCAAGATTACTAATGCTCGGATCAAACAGGGATCAACAAAATCAACCAGGGAAACACGGTTCCTGTGGCATATATCTTAAAACGCCCCCCTCATTTGCCGATTCCGGTTCATCATAAGATATCTTAATCACGCCTCCTCACTTGGCGATTTCGGTTCATCATATATCTTGAACGCAATCGCTCATTTG